GACCATCACACCCATATATGGTTATGCATATTCAGTCTAAAAATAAATGACAAAAAGTGTTTCATTTTTTACCTGGTACTTGGTGCTCCTGCATAATAAAGTTATAGCGATGACTTGTGAACATGTGAAAGCAAACACCTGACATGACACGGCCAGCACGTCCACGACGTTGACGTGCATTAGCACGTGAGACCCAGGTCTCTTCAAGGCTTTCCATACCTTTACTTGAATCATATCTACATCATATCAATAGTATTAGTAAAATAATGCATGAAACGATCACAAAATGCTACATACATTACAGTATTCACAATACAGTAAAGTATTTTTAATCATTATAGTTATGAAGTATTTACTAACCTGGTTTCCTTCATTTTTCCACAATCAATGACATAAACAATGTCATCAATGGTTACTGATGTCTCTGCAATGTTGGTTGATAGGACAATTTTGGTAACACCTTGCTTGGGATTTCTAATAAAATTAGAATTGATGATTATTAAACCCTCCAGTTTCTACTTTCTGTCTTGAGAATTATTTCAAAAAGTTATTAAAAAAACAAGCACATTATTTTCAACACTTACTTAAAGACTAATGATTGCTCATCACTTGATAATGTTGAGTGCAATGGCAATATCAAAAACCTGAAAAAAAAGCAACAAAGTTATTTACATTCACTGTCTTGTATTCTGTCATACTGTTCTCTGCCAACTAACCGTTTTTTATCTTTGAACATGGTGTGGTTGTTCAGTTGTTCCATTAATGTCATTATTTCAGCCAATCCAGACAGGAAGACTAAAACTGCACCAGTTTCTGGATGCTGTAATGACATAAKGGAYTAAGTTAGAGACATCTAAAAATAGACCTATCCAACACACAAATATAACWATGGCTTCAAGTCAAGACTGTAGTTTTAGCTTTGACATTGTTTTGTGGTCATCCAAGTGAGTGCTGGATAGGTCTAATTAGTAGTAATTCAAGATATTTCTCAAGCAAACCGTAAGGTTATGGCAAGAAATACCTACCTCATGTTTACCAGTGATAATCCATTCCAGTACTGTCACTATCAGATCAAAGTTAGTTTTCTCATGGTCCATGATGTACAGAGCTGAGACTGTTCTTTGACTGTAGTCTTAGAAACAAACAATTAGGTATATGATTTAATTGAATTTTTTGTAAAGATCTTAATTCAACTGTTTGGGACATCTAAAATACATGGCGCCTGCTGCACATCCCAACTCAAAATGACTTCAAAGATTCAAGGCCATCTAGTTGGTTGAAAAAATAGCTGACTGCACAAAGAATTGAGAAAGTGCAATTTTTTTCAGGATGTACATTCACATGTATAGATGTGATTGCAACATCTTTTAAGAAGGAAAACATGAAATTCTACAACKTGGTTCACAAATCTTATCTACATGAAATACCTTCATATCTCAACCCCAACTGTATTTCACTCAARACTTCATCCTTGACATTGCCAGGTGGTTTCTTTCTAGCTGTTATCACYTCTCCTGCAATCTTAGTAAGGTTTTGGGAACTCCCTGCTCCTTTGAAGCCATCTTCAAATTGCTTTGAAGATTTGGATCTTTTCATTGGCCTTGCATACTGTGAACTTGGATCCATTTGAAACCTTTTCATTGAAAAAAACATAATATTAAACTGAAAATAGAAACACTACTAGCAAATCTATTCAACTTAATTTATATTATCAGCTTACTCTGTTTTCTCAAGTGCATCCTCTAGATAGTACTCATGTACAGGGAAGGTTCTACCTAAAGATCAAAGAGGAAAATAAATATACAGAGAGAACTTTACCCTGGATTCTCAAGGATGATACCTTTGATACCCCACTACTTATCCTTTGTAGATTAAATCTCTATCTACTCTTAAACTGTATGACTCTATTAAATGTCCTTGCCCATTTCAATGCTGGAGTGTGCATTCTGTCAGCCAACATTGTTAGAGAAGGATATATCAATCACAGCAATAGTCTTCTTCACGGTTCCCTGCGCCATCTTGAAAAGTAGCCATGTCTTTGCATCGAAGCGACATGACCATTGAGCGTGTGATGATAGAAACCTTCTTTCACACCTACACACAATTATTGACTAGTACCGATATCTATCACTGCATGCTTTTGATGCAAAGACACGACTACCTTTCAAGATGGCTCACGTAACCGTGAAGAAGATTATTGCAATCAAGGCAAACAATAGTAATTTTTAGATTTCTGATGTTCAGGTACATCAAGATACCTGTATATTGGTACATACTTTAGGTACACTTACCTGGAATATGAATGACTGGAGCATYGCAGAAATACTCAGAAAATAGTTTGGCATTAAGAGTAGCACTCATTAAGATAATGCGGAGGTCATGCCTCTCCATAACGAGGTCACGCAATACCATCATTAAGAAGTCACTATTAATGATAAATTGAAAATTTCAAAATGTTTTTTTTTTTCTGTATACATTAAGTGTAAAAGATATCATGTCATGCCATTTTATGAACTTGAACTTGAAATAATCCTATGTTAATTCACAAAGCTGCAACGTGGCAATTAGGTCTATTCAGATAGTACATCTCATCTAAACAAGTTATATTGTATACAATTCTAGTACTGTACACTTTTACCTTTCTTCAGTCCTTTCATGGATTTCATCAACAATAACATGGCTGATTCCTGTTAACGTAGAATCATTCTCAAGGATTCGTAACAGGATGCCAGTAGTACAGTATAACAATCTGGTGGACGATGACTGAATTTAAATGAGCAATATTGTACAACATTAATAATTAATATTAGTACACACTGTATTATTCATTTCCATGATATATTTTACCAAAGCTACTGATAAAATTTTACCTGCTTACTCTCCAATCTTATCTTGTAACCAATAATATCCCCAAGCTTTTCTGCTCTTTCATCAGCCACTCTTTCAGCTACRGACATGGCTGAGATACGTCGTGGTTGGGTACAGATGATATTGCACTCTGAACCTCTTCCTTCTTCAAGGTATACATCAAGAATGAATTGTGGGATTTGAGTTGTTTTACCACATCTGTGAAGAATTGAACATTGTCATTTTACAGTGGGCAAGGAACTTCATTCTAACTTTCTATCATTTTCTTTGAAATATTTTGAGCCTACCTTGTATTCATTTGTTGGTTGGTATTCTAAGTCTACTTACACTACTATTTCATTTATTTAGTGATAGTTACCCAGTCATTCCACTAATAACAAGAACCTGGTGATTCTTTAGACTAGAAATTATCTCGTCCTTTGAGTTCCAAGCAGGTAGTTTTATCCTGTTTTCAAGCATTGCTTTATAAGCTGGAAATGTCTAGTGGAAAAGAGAGAAGAAAAAATTATTATGCCTGTTTTTGTTTTGCTTAAAACTTACATTCATCTTTATCATGCCATGAAATATTTTGTTTATCATTTCTGAACAGATTTTCATTTTTCAGATTTTGATTTTTGTTCAGTATTAAAATTCAATAATGTAAACTTATGTTAACTTAATGCTAATACCTTTTGCTTGTCAAATTGAAGTTTTAATCTCTTATTCAATGCTTCTTTCTCTTGGATACTCATTTCCTTCTTTGAACTATTCGCATGTTTGGCCATTTTCAATGCTTTTGTTGGTATATCTTCCCTAAGCAGCAATGTGTTGCTGACTGCTTGGGGGTTTGTTCTCTCAGGCTGACTGAACTCTGAAGGTTTCATAGCTGAAAGCATCAATATATTTTCTTTGTCCTCAAGAATGCTTATTGCAGAGAAAACAACAGGTGATGAAGACTCAGTATATTCCTTGGCTTCCTCATTCAATGCTTTGGTGATATTAAGGGAAACAAATTGAGGAATAACTTCACTTGTTGTGTAAAACACTAAGATTGGTTGTTCAAATGGGTAAATAGATCCTTTKGGAAATCTGACTTCCAGTACAAATTGAACAGGCTTTTCWGCAACTYTTAGRTGTTCATCATCAATCTTATTTTCATCTTCTAGTATAGCATGGCTCATTTTACATTTTGAACCAAACTTACACTTTCCCATCAGAAAAAAMCKGCATATATTTTTGGATTGAGATTGTGGTTTCTTGATTTTTCTTGTCTCCCTTTTATCTTCTGTTCTCAAAGATGTTTTAAATTTTTCTTCTAGAAAATCCATTGAAATATTCACAGTCCAAAGTTTATCTGCAATTGATTCATTAAAATTGTCATCATAGATTGATTTCAAAGCAAGGCATTCTTCATCACGTTGTTGCTTGGCTAACTGTATTGTTTCAGAGTTATCTACATCATYTTTATTGTTGTATTTAATATAACARCAWGAAGATACTAGATTTTCAAGTGCAGCACCAACGTCACCATCACATCTCGATAACGCTGCTAAGCAACGAYKTTTATCAAACCCGCATTGAGTGAGTCTCTTTAAAGCAAACTGATTGGCTTCTTCGCTGAATTTTTCAGTACTTTCCCAGTCTAGATTG